CCGAACATCTTTATATCCTTCGTAAAATTTTTTTAGTTTCCTTTAATTCAGTTAAAATTAAAAGTTAAATTAAAAGATATTTTGGGTCGAAATATATTTTAAAATATTTTATACAACTCTAAAACATACAAGTGTACCTCCGAACTGGTTGAAGTTGTACTGTCGGCGCTATCGGTATTAGCGATGGAAGAGAGAGGCGATCTTGTGCCCCTCTGGGCCCATCTACCCTTGATTATCGCTACCCCTGTCACTGCACCCATCTTAGTAGCCGCGTTTCCGCTCGACGTGTTGCTCGACATGTTCTTGTCTCCGGTTGTAGCACCGCTACCTCCACTTCCGCCTCCGCCGCATAACTCCAGGACATCGCCCAGAACCTCTGACAATTTGTCCGGCACTTTGACGAACGCGTGCAAAACAACTACCCGAGTTCGAAAGTCGAAAGCGAGACCAGTTCGCTGACTGGAATCTCGATTTACGATTTCTACGGCTGCTATTGTTCCCTCGACGACGCGCGTAACTTTTAACACTAAGAAAACTAAGAAAACTAATTCTAGATAATTAGCAAAAAGATGTTTCAGATCTAGCATAATGCACTTTGCCGCTTTTATATCTGTAGTCGTGAAACTTTTGCCGTCACTCGCTAAACACTTAGACATCCGGCGCCACAAATCTATCACTTTGACGATCAATTTCGAAAAAATTCTTGCGTAACTCTCTCTAAATAAACGTAAATGTTTACATTCGCGTATTGGGTATTTGAAAAGTGACGCAGTCGAGTTATTGAAAAACAGTTCCGAACTTGTCTCAATGTGGAATAATTAAAAAATCTCACGCTAATTTTATCATACTCCGTGATAAAAATAAAAATCAACAATAAAAATCAACCTCTGCTTACATGTCCATTAATAAGAATAAATTTTCATAATTTTAATTACGTTAATTAATAGTATAAAAGCTATTAGTGAGAAGCTTTTATTATAATAAAATAAATATTACAAGCATATTATATTGAGCGAAAATATTTCAAGTAGATTAAATTGATTAAGTAAAAAGTGAAGAATAACCGTTGAAGATGAAAAATAATTAAATATCTAATCCAATATTAAATATTGATGATTGAGTCCATTAACACTTAAATAATCTCGTTTTGATGGGCAAGATTTTCAATATCGCATAGTTTGTTGTTATTGTTCATGGATATGACTGTCAATAAAGATCGTGATGTTAATTACATATCGTTTGACGTAAAGATGCATTAGCCTAGGGCATAATTCACTTTCGTTAAATCAATCAGCCGCGTTACGATATCGCCGTACGTTTGCGGCCGATTAATTACCTCGTCATTCTACTTCGACCGATTCGAATATAATCTCGATGGCATATTTGTTATCAATCGAGGTGCGTTTATGCGATAGTTAGGATGTTTTTCGATTGAAAAAGATAATTAGATAAATGGAAAAATGAGGAATTTGTTGTATTAAAAATAGAGATTCACGCTTTTAAGAAATATATTAAACTTGCGTGGAAGAAAGATTTCATTATCTATAATGTTTTATTTAATTGATGAATTCTAAAATGCGAATAATTAATATATATATTAATGTATATATATATGCTATTAAAACTGTATAAAATTACAGTACAAGAAATAATTTACTGCTTTGATATTGAATAAAAATTAAAATTTCTGAAATAATGGATATAATTAATAACATGACAATTCTGTAGCACAATATTTATTAAACGTGCGTTTAAAACGTGCGTTTAAAAAATTGAATATAAATTTTAACATATATACCAGTGGAGTTCGAGTTCAAGAAAGTATGTTAAATTTCGTTTATGGCACAATTTTTTTGTGCCATCTTAATTTTGTAAAACGTCAGGACGATCGTTGGATTTAATTGTCACACGGATCAATCATATAAAGCGTTCAATCAAAAGAAAAGTATTCTCGATTGTTTCTTTAATAAACATTGCGCAGAAGAAATAGGCAATACTCGTCCGTTAGCTAAAATCGATATTTATTTATTCCGATTGACGTCTCTATTTAGGTTCGTCAAAATTATGTCATTGTTATTTTCTTAAGTTTAAAACCATAGTGAGGATTCTAATTTTTTTCCTTGCAGCTGTCTGTTTTGCCCTACTTTCTCTAAATTTAACTCAATTTCGTTTTGCTCTTCACAATCACTCTCTTTGTTAATTGTATATATAATCGCGTAAAGCTGAATAGAGGAACATCTGATTTCATTACGGTTCAGCGGTTATGCGCGACCGCGGCTCATTACTCTACCCGTAGCCCCGATCCAATTAATTTTACGTCACAGCCGCCTCTATTCTAACTGTCTCCATCAAGGAGAAGATGAATGTCTGAACCGTCGCGGATTACAACTACTTGGACTGGCGACGCTGACCCGATTCGTCGTCGGTCTGTCCGAGCAGTAACGGCAAGCGAGCAGCCTCAGTTTCACGACGCACAGTAATGATTAATTGTGCTTTTTACCCTCGTTAAGATCTCGGTATAGTAGCTGTTCTACGTACGTCGCGATCGGTACGTTTACCACCCAGTCACAAGATTAATTTCATCCCAGCACTCTCGCGTACGAAAAAAAATACTTTTTGTCGACTTTTGATCCCGTTTTCGATACGGTCGTACGTAAAATATACGTCTACGATCACGGTCGACCTGGCGCGGATATGTGTCACCGAGTATCACCGTGCCGCGATACTGGGCCAGCCTGACTGACTTTATACGCACCCGACCAGTACCAGGGCTCGTCGTGTACCACCAGAAAACGACGATTCGCCGCTGAGCGTAGCTGGTGGCCTGGGGTGGTGGTGCGCGGATGGTTTCGCCACCAAGGGGTGCAGAGGGAGCGAGAGAGAGAGAGAGAGAGAGAGAGAGAGAGAGAGAGAGAGAGAGAGAGAGAGAGAGAGAAAGGGAGCGAGAGGGATGGGATCCTTAACTAGGGGGCGGTGGAAAGGCGGAAGAGAAGATGGATATCGAGTACGAAAGTGAGATAGGAAAGGGTGCGTGCGCCGCAACAGGTTACACTTCAGGAACGACAACGATTTTGGGAAAGAGAATTAGTACTAGTTTCGCTTCAACCGTACTCATCGCGATGTACATCAATACAAATTAAAGAATTGACAGTGTCAAATAAGTTTTTATTAATTATTATTTGTTAATAAACTAAAGATAAAATGAATGATAAAATTGTACATAATTCGAAAAAAAACTTGATTTTATGCGTGACTATCGACAAATATAAATGAGAAATAGCAACGAAAAAAATTGACAATATGTTATTTTTCGCAATATGTTATTTTTCTGACAAGGAATTTTCGTAAAAAGATCGATCGGCATGCAACAAATAACAAATGCTCAATAGTAAACATTTAACAGAAATAGAAGAAATTAATACAAGAGTAGAACTCTCAAACTCTCATCACTTTGCCAAATTCAATATTTATTTAATAATCCAATCTTTTTTACTTTTCAACAACAAATTATTTTTATTATTAAATTAGATTCCTGCTTAAGTAAACTCTATTGAATTTTAGTTCAAGGTTTATTTACAGCTTAGCAAAGAGCTCTTATAGTTCATACAATTTGCTAAGAGGTTTCTCAAATAATAATTCTGTTACTGTTTACGTCTAGACATTAACCAGACAAGAGTACATTGAATCCATTTAACTAGTATAAACTTAAAATAAGCGACATCTCTCTTAATTTGATTTCTATAAAAAATGGGATTCGGAAAATTTGCATAATTTTTATAGATATTATATAGATTATTTCCATACTTGAACTGTAAAAGTGTTCTACTTTCATAGCAATAGAGATTTTCCATTATACGAGGCCGATCTACATTATAGGTACCAAATAAAATTTTAAATCTATGCTTTCTCTCTGTCTCTCTCCCTCTCTTTGTCGGTCGATATATTTTCTTTCTTCGTCGACTCTTCACGATCATGGCAATGGATATAAGCAAGCACGCAAACTACGTATCGATTGTAGACGAGTTGTTTTTCTTGGACTATTTTTCTCACAAATGCAGCGACATTTGAATGATAAATTTATATTACTTGTTGATTTAAATAATATTGCATAAACGAAATAATGATATTCATTTAGAGCGCTTCAGATCTCTTTCTTTTACAAAAATTCATTTATTAATAAAAGGATAGCGTTAAAACATGCACAATATAACAATTTGTTTGAAGTACTTTCTAACAAAATGAGATTGCTTTAATGACGGCAATATTTAAATTTAAGAATATCTAAGTCTCAGATGAATCTCGCGTCTTCAATATAATGTCGGATACGGTACATTAACCTAATTACAGTATACCTTTAATACACTTTGCATAAAATAGGAGTTTACAATTTTGCAAATTGATTTGAACGAAAAGTTATACAATAAAACATTTTCTGCCTGTTTTGTGTAAAAATAAATTGAAATTTTAAGAATTCAAAATGATAATCTTATCAATTTTTTAAAAAATTCAACAAAATTAATCTAGATATATTTTTCTCAACTCTCTTAAAACTTAATGTTTCCGAAGTGTTGAAAATTTGGAAGTTAAATGTATTCTTATGTATTCAATTGCTTGAGAAAGAGAGAGAGAGAGGAGGAGAGAGAGAGAGAGAGAGAGAGAGAGAGAGAAGAAGAGAGAGAAGAGAGAAAGAGAGAAGAGAGAGAGAGAGAGAAGAGAAGAAGTAAAGGAAATTAAAATAATAAAAAAAATTAAAGTTAAAAATTAAAAAGTTAAAAAATTAAAGTTTATTTCATATATTATGTCTAATATTTATTATTATTCCTATAATCAATTTATTATATAATAAAGTTAATAAGATAAATTTACAACATAATTTATCAAAGGAATAGAATTTAACTAATTTCGATTGCTTTTAATTGCCTATCGATACTTTTAATTGCGTTTTCTTTTGGGCATTTGTATTGTCAATGAATGAATTAAGAATTATGTATTAATAGCTAAAATGAGATTAAAAGCATAAATTAATATTACACAAACAAATATAAATATCTCTTTATGTTAACAGAATCCATCTGTTGGTCGCGATGCACTATGTGCGCCATATCTCTCTGAAATGATATCCGTCGCGGTTACGGCTCTGTATCGATCGAAATTCTAGATTCAATGTCTTGTCCGGAATAAAAACTTTTCGTAATCATGTGTGCGTAGAGACACGATAATACACAAAATAATAAACTTATTAATCTCACTCTCATTTTGTTTACAACATTATCTATGTATAATCTATAATAATCTATAATAATAAGAAAGAAATTATATTTTACCTGATTAATCTTTGCATAAATATATTTAACACATAATTGCATTTGTTTGCTCTTTCTAATTGTAACAACTTTGTTTGTTTATCTGCAGGTTGAATTTCGCTAAAAGCGGAGCAAAAAAATAGGTCACATCAGGTTAAACTTTGGCATTACATCGATTTAGTTACGTCGTACCTCTCTGTTTCCCATTGTATAGAAAATTATCTCTTCTCGACATATACTTAGCAACATTACTTTAAAGTGAAATTCCATGTATCAAAAATGTATTAAATTTTTTTTAAAATAAATATACAGTAACTAAAATCTATTTAGTTAATATATTTAAATAAACAATTTATTTATTTCTATATATTAAATTTAGCAAAATTATAATATAAATACAATTGTGCATTAATAAGAGTTTAATTTTATTTAAAAATTAATATTGCGCATTTTTATAAGAAATTATTTTTTACCAATGTAGATATGTTTTGTCGACACAAGGCAATAATTATAAATGTTAACCTCTTGTGATTATGAATCAATCATATCAAAGTTAGCCTTTGCAAGTAGTCTTATCGACCTTTGGCAGAAACTAACCGACCGTTAGCTATTAACTTTACCGACACATTTTGTTAGATAATTTACCGATATATGGAATGCTTGTAATAAGTCAAGATTAGCATATACAAATAATAATTAAATTTTTACTAATACAGCTGATATACGAATTAAAATTGTGTTCTTAAAATTGTAAATAGATCGATAAAAAATATTTTTAGTTTATAATTAATATTTATTTTATAAAAAATTATTCTATGCTGTATTTTACTTGATAAACAAATAATTAATGATTTTTTTCTGTAAATGATAAATAATAATAGATAACGGGTAATAGATAATAAATAATGGTAAAATAACGTAATAAGATTATAGATAAATTAAAAAATGAGTACAAACATATTACAATATTAAATGATATTATAATAAAAAAAAAAACAAAAACAAAAACGGAGAAAAAAAATATAGAAAATATTAAAAATTAACATTAAGAAATTATTAATCTAAAAGACTAGAAGGAAAGAAACACATAATTTATGTGATTAAATACTAATGATTATAACCTTGATATTTAAAGTGTAATGTCTCTGATAAACATTTAACGATTTTTCATTATTTCCGTCACTTGAAAAAATTTTCACTTGCTTTGGTTATTACAATAGAATACAAAAAATAATAATATAATAAAGGAAACGAATTTTACGATGTTTAGCGTTTCTCATCAACGTAAAGAAGAAAGACTTAATAATTGAGTATTATCATCAATTACTAAATAATTAATTAAAAGCAAACTAACAACTAATTACTAACCCCAGTCTGTACAGCGTAATAACTCTTTTGAGGCTTTTTCCAGCAGTCGAGCACAAGTGACGTCGGCGTTACATGGCAGTAGTGATGATGAGGCTGATCATCATTGTTGCTCCTGATTGGTGGATCTGGCCAACGATCCAGGTTGCTCCAATTCCATTTTCCCTTTCGCTTCACGGCGTAGTAACGATAAACTACGATTGTCATGGCTACCACCAAGGCTAATCCTGTACCGGCAGCCGCCCCAAATATTGCGGACGAAACCATCGTTTCTTTTTCGTCTCGTACTCGTAGTCGATATTAGATATAACTTTCGTTGCTTAATCTGTACATAAAACAATAAAAATATTTACATACTATTAAGTCATTAAAAACATTAAATTACAAATTATGTGAATTATTTCCAAATATATTTTAATGCAGACATCTTTCAAGAGACTTTTAAATTTGATATTCTTCAGGTGTCTGTTTCTGTTTTATTCGATATTTATTGTTCTGTTTATAGTTTAAAGAAAATTGAATGTGTATAATTATGTAATATGAAGGTTTTTTCATTTCTTTACAATTTTTATCTTATTTTAATCTTGTAACACAATTATACAAATATAATTTAATAATATATAGACAATTGAGCATATTTTATTAAATTCATTTTCGGTAAACTAGAAATTAAATTTTTAATAGAAAAAAATGTAATCACCCGTTATTTATTGTGTCATCACAATATGTGGCTCCTAATACAAACTCGTGTTAAATAATTAAATTTATTAACTTATTAAGGCGATGCTGGAGATACCGACTGAGTCAATTATTTTCAGACAAAGTAATCTTTTCATTGATTATACAGAATTAAAAATCCTTTTCCAGAATTGAAGTATAGACAATAACGCATCCGAGTCTGTATATTTCATATGAAAGAGGAAAAAAAAGTTAGAAAATTACAGTTTTGTTATCGACTTTTGAGATTAATTTGTGACAATATTTTGCATAAAAGTTTAAACTTTGAATATATAAACACATACAACACGTACTCATCCGGGACGGAATTACAACAAAGAACAATACTATGCTTTTAAAAATGCGAAGCTGTATATAAGAGAATACTTTGCCTGACAATTTCATGGATATGTATGCGTGCCTGTATGTATGAGTGTATGATGTATATATACATAAATGTATCTATGTACGTTTAGGTGTGCATTTGGGTGAACGTTTTCGTTGGAGTTCGCTCA